CACCACCATTCCTTTGCCATCTCAGTAATGATTTACCCAGAGAAAGTAGAACAAGGACGAATATGTGAAGATAGTTGTGCCGTTGAAGAGCGCCCTTCTGAGCATACACAAGTGTGACCGGCAAATTCTTGTTGTGCTTAGAACCAAGCTTTCTTATCCCTATTGGTATAAAGTATAGTATCTTAGGTGATGGGCTGTCTCTTGGTCAGCAGAATTAGGTATATGTTGTGTTGGACGTGCAGCTCTGGGCACTGCAGTATAGTGCTGAAAAGAAAAGTCCTAACTGTCCTGGGGACTCCGGTTCAGTGGGGAGGACAAAACAGAAAGAAAAATGTCAGCTAATTGTAAGAGCTCTTTAGGAAATTAAAGGAGGATGTTGTGATAGAGGTGATGCCGTTTGCTATCTGGAATGTCTCTCTGAAGAATGAAAGAAAAACCTGGCAATTCTTTCCCAAACAAGAGCTTTCAGGAAACGGTGTAGTTAGTTTCCAAGACAGGATCAAGGTCCATATGTTCACGTACTTAAAATGGCGGAAATGTTGAGGGTCATGTGCACTGACTGATGTGGGAGAGAGGCCAGATGGTGTAGTGTAAGGATAAGTCAAAAAGTACTCCTATAAAACCATGGGTGGTGGTTATGTGCCATGGAGTCGGTTCTGACTCATAGTGACCCTGCACAGGGTTTCTGAGGCTGTGAATCTTTACAGAAGCAGAAAGCCTCATCTTTCATTCACCCATGGAGTTGCTGGTAGTTTCAAACTGCTGACCTTGAGGTTAGCAGCCCGCCTCATATGCAAATTCTGTGCAATGAATAAGGAAGATTGAAGAAGATTTACGTATTTGAATTATGGTGTTGGTAACGAATATTTTAAATATATCATCGACTAGTAGAAAAGTGAGCAAATCAGTGTTGGTAGGAGAGGAGCCAGAATGCTCCTTAGAAGAAAAGATGGCAAGTCTTCCTCTTTGTACTTTGAATCTCATGCTTGGTAAAGGAGCTCTGGTAGCATAGTGGTTCCAAGTCAGGCTGCTAACCTCAAGGTCAGCAGTTTGGAACTACCAGCAATTCTGCAGGAGAAAGATAAGGCTTTCTGCTCCCGTAGAGATTTATAGCCTCGGAAACCCTACACAGGTTTGCTATGCGTTGGAATCGACTCTACAGCAAACCACCACCAAAGTAGAGGAAGACCCTCAACAAGATGGATTGACAAAGTGGCTGCAACAGTTGGCTTACACAGCAATGATTGTGAGGGTGCAGCAGGACTGGGCAGTGTGTCCATCTATTGGACATGGGGTCTTTATGAGCCAAAACTTGATCAATGGCATCTAACAACTACATTCCTCGTTCCTTCCCCCAAAGAATTCTGCGTTCTTCCATTTTTACCACATCAAAACAACAGTTTAGGCATCCTTGAGGGACTCAAACTTTGTTCCTTTTAAATGTTCTTTGAGTTTGGGCAACAAAAT